TTAACTTATATAAATTTTGTCGTTATTTTGAAATCAAAATTAATTTTTGTAACAAAGAAAATCTTATTCCATATATCATACTTTTTTACACATGACTGACGTGTATTAAGTTTGGAAAATACTGACTTCGCCCCATATCCAACTGTTTCGTTACGTTGGATTTGTAAGTGGTTTTTCCAAATATTCTTTGTATAGATAATTGAAAAGATAAATCTTCTGATTAAAATTAAGTGCAGCTTCAATGGAAATTTTTATTACTTGCAAAATTTTTAAGGAATAACAATAATTGAATTTAGTTTTACAGTTAGAACATTGTTTAATTGAAAATTAGATACAAAAAGCAACTTTTTTTGAATATTAATTAATATTAATTAATTTTTTTAGAAGTTTAATTTACTAATATAATACTATGGTTATTAATAAATTGAATAAGTATAACTTAACAAATTTTTTTTTTTAAATTAATTTTATTTTAAAAAAAATTTCTTTTTAATACATTTTTAAAAAAATTAATAGCTTTATATTAATATTAACATACATAGCATTTTTTTTTAAATTGAATTATTTACTTAAAAATAGAAAAATTATTTTTGGTTTTATATTAAAATTTATTAATATTTACTTAATATTTATAAATATTTTTTTATTATTACTATGTTTAGGTCGTTAACTTAAAACAAAAAAATTAAAAATGTTTAATAATAAAAAAAACGTGTTGAATATTGGTCGTAATAACAGTTTATTAATTTATTAATATTAATATATTGCATTTTTTGATTTAAATAACTTCTTTTTCAACTAATAAAAATTTTTAAAGTTTTAATTTGATATACATGTTTTAAACGTATGTTCTTAAAAAAACAAAATTATTTAATAGTGAAATTGTTTAATATTTACATGTATTGCATTTCTTTTAAATTTAAATAACTTTTTTATTTTTAATTTTTTAAACTTTTATTTATAAATTTTTACTAAATTCGACTACAATATTGAAGTCAGCTTTTATAATACATCCTATAAGTAATATATGATATATATGTACATAAATATATATTCTTATTATATTTTAATTTTCAATCTGAATGAAATTTTTTATCGCACCTCAATTGACTTCAACTGTTGTTAACTGAAATATGTTTTTATACTAATATATTCTCACACCTTTAAAGGGTGAAATTAATAAAATTAATGATTTCTAAAATGACCGCTCACCGCCTCATATGCTAACCATGAGATTTTAATTCACAAGTTACTATTGACGTCATAATTACTCATTGTACATATGACCAAATGGTACTTAAGCTTAACTTAAGCTTAACAGCAGCAATTAGAAGTCGTTTACATTACGTTAAATGTGCTACCATGTGTGTTATTGAATGAGAACGTTTCTTATTAACAAAAACATCATCTGTTCTAGACAGAATTAAATATCTAATTTGGCAATAATAATAACTCATTAATATTAGTCTAAATATAATTTCATAAAAATACGTATAAATTCGTTTGTTTATAATGATGACTTATCAAAAAAGTATATTTCATTTTCTAATGATAAGTGTAAATAAGACTTGTACAAGCTTGTACTAGCACTAGTCGACATTGACGGTGTTGACGGTGTTGACGGCGGCACAGAAAATATTAAGAAACTTAAAAATACATTTCCAAATAAAGTTAGAAGAACGCGAAAAAAATACCAAAAAAAGTGATCACTTGTTTAAAAAAAGGCTTATGACGACATGTTCCTATCAAATTTTTAAAATAAAATGCCAATTATTGGCGGCGATAAGCATTGATGGCTTTTGCAGTAGAAAATTAAATCAAATAAATTTAACTGATTTGACACATGCGTTCAAGTATGCTTTATCTTTCGTTCCGGTCATAACCAGTGACTGAACAAGCCGCTCAAAACTATGCCACTGAGTGCTATCTTTAACTATTTACACCTGTACGAATTCCAATGTTAAAATACTGGATTGCTAATAATATACATTAAGACCGAAAAGTTTTCGGAAATTCTCATTTAAAATTCGCGCGCTGTATATTTTTCGATATTTTAAGTTTATGTAGTTTGGCAGCAATGACCTTAATTACTATGCCAAAAATGAGCGCGATCTGTCAGACAGTTCGTTTACGGCAGCTGTTGAAACCAGTTCACCTCAGTAGGGCGTTGCGAAAAAAACAATGGAAAAAAATATTGAACAAAGAGTTTGCATCAAATTTTGTGTTTCGAACGAAATTTCGTGTGCAGAATCGTTGCGAATGCTACAAAAGGCTTATGGGGAATCAGTTTTATCGAAAACTCAAGTTTATGAGTGGTACAAAGCCTTCCAGGACGGTCGTACGACCGTCGAAGACATTTCGCAACGCACTACTGAGGTGAACTGGTTTCAACAGCTGCCGTAAACGAACTGTCTGACAGATCGAGCTCATTTTTGGCATAGTAATTAAGGACAGTGCTGCCAAACTACATAAACTTAAAATATCGAAAAATATACAGCGCGCGAATTTTAAATGAGAATTTCCGAAAACTTTTCAGTCTTAATGTATCTTAATATAGATAGTTCTTTTAATTCCAATGAATTTCACAAGAAATCGTAAAAAGACTCAAGTGACAAATATTTCAGTTTGATATCTTTTGCTCTACAACATTTCAAATAATTTTGTTGTTTTCAAGTTTTGTCTGTTGTTTCTGTTGTTGTTGGTATTGTTGTTATTGTTGTTATTGTCGTTATTGTTGTTGAATTCGTGACTCGCACCAAAAGTCCAAAGGTAAAGACACAAGCCGGTACAAAATTCCGAAAACTTTGATATTGAAGTAAAAAATTTACACTTGAAAAAAATTGTTGGTGCATGTATCACAATTGATATATTGCCAATATTACAACTGATCAGCGGAAGATAGCTAAATATAGTTGGCAAAAATTTTCCATTAAGATATTGTACAATTTACTATCTACTGAAGCTTATGACATCATATTGTCATGTATAGTTTTTGTTCAAAGAAAATTTTATTAAACGAATTTTACTTAAATCTTTTGTTGTACTTATCTATCAGTGATTCATCAAATACATTAAGTAAATCAAAATGAAAAAATAAAAATACAAGTACGAAAAAATTAAACAGAAACCACAACAGTAAAAAAACAACAAATACTTTTATCATTAACATTGTTTGATCACGAGAGTAGCGCGCGCTTTTATTTGTGCTTTCATTTTGTAAAAATATATACTTAAAAGTCATTTAAAATTGATTTATAATGAAGTCTACTAGTAATATTACTAACTAATTGACTTATTGACTTAATCTTGTGATTTGAACAACTCTGTCATAATGATTATTACAGTTGAAGTTACATATTTTATTAACAGCGTCTTACACTTCGATGGTTTGTTAGCAGAAATCGTTTTAGACATTTCGACATATGAATTTAATTAAAATTAGTAATAAAAAACACATACGATAAATATTAAGTATACGTGTATGACATGTTTATTGCCTAATCCACTTAATATAATTTTTTATTATGTATTTAGATTTTTTCTAAAAAATTTAAAAAATGTTATTTAAACGTTTCTCGTGAGATAACATAAATTATTAAAATTAATATTACCCCGAATAAGACTGTAGACTATAATCAAAATATTGCGAATATTAAAATATATATTTCAACAATAATTGAAAAAGTTGTGTGTTACTTAAACAATTAACCTGTTTAAAAATATTTAATATAAAATTAAATAAAATTAAACTAAAAATTTATGTTTTATAATTTTATTTATAAAAATGAATTTATGTATTCACACAACTCATTTAATATATGTTTCAATATATTTCGTTGTCTTTCATTTCATTCTTATTGCAAAACAAAAAACTTTAAACTCAACGTTTAATTATCAGTTCTCTCTATATTAACATGATCAGTTCTTTATTATACCCTAGTCTAAAATTGGCTTGCTATTATAATAAATTGCCAGTTTCAAATCAAATTATTAAGCAAAACCCCAGTATAATTGTTATATGGGATCAATATTTTTCATTTTGAAACTAATATTATTATATATTATTTGTTTTATGTCAGTACCCTGTGATGTTGACTATAGACTAAACTCGAAATATTGGTGACTATGAAATACATTTATATTATTTAAACCACTGACCAATTAGCCCGCTCCAAAAGATATATACATAAAATTTAGTCATAAGAAAAATAAATGCTTATTTATAATGTTAGTTAATTATGCAAAATATACATATTGTTTCCATTTAAATTTCTTCAAATTAAATACATTTTCTATAAATACTCAAATTATTATAACAAAAACTCTTTTACTACATCTCACCTCTGTGATACTCATTTCCCTTCACCTTAACTTATTAACAAAAATTTGTTTATCATACGTACCAGCTGACTTCTCACAACAATTAACCCATATTTTGCGCATGTTCAGCTTCAAGCGACAATAACTGCTCATGTTTGTTTACATAAGAAAACGCTGATCACAAGTATGTTACTAACATTAGGCCAAAATGAAAAAAGTACCGTTTAGCAGTAAAATTTTTGCAGCGCATTAACAATAAATTTCACATGCTTGGTAAATACGTTCATTGTAGTTCGAGTTGAATAACAAAAAAAATAAAAAAATAACAAAACAAAAATTTATATATTTTTTTCAATACACACATAAATGTATAAATATATTTCTACTTTTAATTTTTTATGTTAATACTTACACCTCATTTTTACATTTCGTTCATGCCCGATAACCAAAAATTTAATGAAAATTTTTTATAAGCACCTCATTAATTTTGGAAAATCCCTTATGGCGGGGATTTTAATTGAAAACTTTTATTAACATTTATAGTTTATTAAAATTTATTTAGTTTTTATGTTTACAATTTTTTATTATGTATTTTTATTTACTTATTAATTTAATACAATATTTTTTTTTTAAATAAATTTATTCAACAAATCGTTGTATTTTGACATTTGCAGGTGGTTGCAGATATAAAGCAACCAAAGAATTCAGCAAAACGGCTAACTTAACACAAAAAATTTTCCCTAGCCTAGGCACCACACGTCAATGTTGCTACATACATCAAGCAAAGCAGAAACATATCCAAAGTATTAGTAATATACATCATAAACAAAACAATAACAATAAAATATGCAACAACGTGTGGTATAAGGCAACAAAACAACAACAACAACAAACAAATAAATTTTGTAACATTGATCATTTTGTATGTAAAAGCTACAAAATTACATCAACACATCCACAAAAATATTTGTCAATCTTCATATTTATAATGACCTTAACAGTATTAAATCAAAGCCAACAGACACTAGCCAATCCTTTATGGTTAAAAAATGCAAATAAACTAACAGAAGAGAATGCAATGCAACAGAAAACAACAGAAATGTTACTAACAGTAGACATTGAGGAAAAAAGCCAACAGCGACTTAAAAGTGATACACGCATAAACAAACGCTATGCAGAAGATAGTTGGCACAGCATTTATGCAAAGGAAGGAGTATCACAAAGTATTGAATGGTCGAATCCTTGCAATGGCGTTTGGGTGGAGACAAAAAGTCCTGTACAACCAGTAAAAACAGTAAGTAAACCAAAACATTTAATTTCTTATTTTATATCAATTATGTAAAAAAGTTTAGTATGGATATTTTAGTGACATAAAACGAAACTTAGACTTTAAATTTAAAATTAAACTTTGACAAAACACTAGTGGCTAAATTTCATTTTTGTCGATTCTAGTTTATTATCTTGTTCTTAAACTTTTAACTATAATTAAACCTTTGACAAAATAATTAATATTTTATTACTAATTGTCAAAAATAAAAAAATATACGTTTATTATTTTAGTTTATAAATATTGTTCTTATACTTTTTATTATAATGAAATCTTAAACAAAATGATTAATATTTAAATTTAAAAATATATTATTTGTTTTTAAAAGATTTTATTTTAACCGATATCAGGTACTATGATTATAGAATATAGTCGAGATATCGGTTAAAATAAAATTTTTTAAAAGTAAATAAAAATTTTTCAATAAGTTAAAAAACCAAAATTATTATTAAAAATTGTTTGATCTTTAAAACAATAAATTATTATCAATTTATTATTTTTAAAAATAAAAATTTATTTTTTTATTATTCTTATTTTAGTCACTTCGCTGGTTACAAAGCAATGTATCCCGTGAGCTTAAAACTCTAAGAGCCACAACTAATTCTGCTATAAACGCTACTAATATGCGCAGTTGGCCAAAGAACTCTCATAATTTCTTGCCAGTGATAAAACTGAATTCTAATGTAAGTCAAATCTATTTAACCAATTTAATAAAAAAAATGCTAGCTTTTAACCGCACTATATCATTTTAAAATCATTATATTAAGTTTAATATATCGCTAATTTTATGATAAATCTTCATGGTATATCCGAGTACAAACCACGTCTTACCCAGAGTAGTACAAATATTTACATGCAAATTTTATATAAATGCATAAACAAATTTGACAAATATTTTATTAACAAATATTATAGAAAATTTTTAAACAAATAATAACCGCTTCAAACCTAAATTTTTTACTGACCGAATTTATTTTAATCTGTTAAACTATTTTACATATTTGTACAGTTTCTTTTATTGTTTAAAATGTTGTTAATAAACTTAATAAATTAATTTCAAATAATTAACAAGATTTTTCCTGTTTAAGCTGGTAAGCACTTACTTTCCGAACACGTTATTGATCATTTAAGCAAGAGCTGATATCACTTAGTTACGGAAATATTTAATTTGAATATTATGAAGACCAAAAATAGTCCAAAATTTGTTGAAAAAATATTAAACATAATGCTTTGGACCATGCTTGGCGTATGCGTAACATATTTGATGTGACAAAAATAACTTCAAATACATGACAATACTCAATTGATAGCTAATACTTTAAGTAAACGCTGGAATATTTCAATAAAGAAATTGTAAAAAAAAAGTTTTAGCTTGATCAATATCAGAAAAAAATATTGACGTTATTGTACAATATCAATAATTGTACAATAAAAATATTAAAAATATGACTATTAATGGTTTGAGTAGCAATAGTCTTAGGTTTGAGTAGTCGTCTTAGCGCAGTAGAGCACTCTTCTGTTTAGAGTATCTTAACTAAAATCTTTTCACACAGTCTGCTTAAAAATTCTTAATTAGTAGCTCAACTTTTTTTTTTAATTTAGTTTATTATACATATATATAATAATACGAGTACGCAATGTTTTTATTAAAACCGCTTCATGTCAAGTTCAGCACAATTTTATACCAGTTTAAATCTTGTTTGTCTTCACACTTATAAACATTTAGTATTTTTAATCTTTTTATTGTTTTTATCTGTTGTTTTAACTCTTCCTCTCTACTGAAATTTATTTTTTTTTTTTGTCGAATTTTTTATTTCATTCGTATTACATTATTTTGTTCCCACAATTTTCAACAAAAAGCGTGCGATCATGGTGGGATTCTTTACATACATACACGCTGCCCTCTTTCTTCTTGCTTTATGAAGCGATCTGCGTCTGTTATAGCGCTTAAGATGCGCAGCCGAGTCATCTATACGTGCAACGTTAAGCTTGTTCTGGAATTAAGACAAAATTAAATCAGACATGAAATTATTACAAACATTTAAAACGCACGGACCAAAAGACAGACGGACAGATATGGAGACAGGCATTTGTATATCAACATATGTACGATATATAGCACTTAAATCAGCTTTAATGTTGAGTATTGCAGTTAAAAGTGGATTTCAGCCTCTTGGCTTTTGTTAAGGCCTTAAACTGTAGACTTTACGTTTTTCTTTATTTGTTTTTTTTTTTTTGAAATTTTGTAGATACTTTGCTTGCATGTTACATGCCGCCAAAGGGCCTTTTTTGGCACAGCAAAAAATGATAAATAAATAAAAGTACGAGAGATACTCATACTAACTGCAGTAGTTGTCTGCTTTGTATGTTGCGATATATTGATATATAGTCAAAATCGTTCGGTATAGGAGTACATGCGCCAATACATAAGTTATATAGAGTTATATGTGGTTATGTTAATAATTGTCGGCGCGTTGCCCTGGGGGCGTTGATTGAGTAGTTTCATTTTTGTGTGAATGCTACGGGATTTTTTTTGTCCTCTTTATATATTTATTTTTTAAAATATTTATTTATGGCTTACACTCACATATCAAGGATGTAACCTGTTGTTAAAGTAATTTCTTACACAATCTTATGTGCAATAGGATAGAAATTATTATTTTGACGTGTACGTGTACACTTTAAGTACTCTGGGCATAAAGGCGATGGCTCATACATCTTTTATGGCATTTCAGCAGTTTGGTAGTTTACTTTGTTTGATGGTTGTCAGTAGCATTTAAGAAGCTAAAACAATCTACAGCTTGTTGGATTGCTAAGCATAGAAAATGAAAAGCAATATTTCAATCAAGCTTCAACCACAACATCAGATACATGAGGAAGAAAACTGAACATGTATACTGACTTTGAATGGAAAGCTGGAAGTTATATAAATAGCTTAAAATTAAAAATAAAACTATAAAATGACAATATTTATGGAATATGTAAATTTAAAGAATTTAATGTATATAAGGAAAATAATATAAATATTTATATATATATATATTTTTTTAGAGAATTAATTTAAAAAATATATTTTATTGTTATTAATATTTCGGCCATAGTCTATAGTCAGAACTTGCGCCTATTGACTCATGCCACACTTGAGTAAAATTCAGGAAAAAATTAATTGTTATAACACTTTTCACACAGTTTACCACATTTAGTGAATTGAAATTTTACTCATGTCATTGAATGTGAGAAGCATAAAAATTATTCCTCATGCACCAAAATTACTCTCATAAATTACTCAAGTGTGGCATGTGTGGCAGAAAAGGAATCAAAATGATAAGTAAAATAGGAAATTAACAATTGTGATGTGACTCTCTATATTATAAGCTCTCTATATACAAGCATGAAAATATAATACACTAAAATTATTATCTCAAAAATGACTGAATGTGGCGTGTGTAGCAAGAAAAGGAATCAAAATGATAATGAGTGATAAGAAAAATAGAAAATTAACAATTGCGATGTAACTCGCTATATACATAACATGACCTATAGTTGGCGAAATAGACTCAACAAGTGTATAGCACAAATTTAAAATTTTTTTATGTATATCAAATATATCTCATTTATTACATCTTTTTCTTTTCCTTTGAAGAAAACTTCATAGTGTAATTTTTAAGTTGCCTCATAAAACACTGTATATATATATATTTTGTAATGATAATAATTGTAATTGAAAAATAGATAAATAGATTTATTAAATATTGATAAATAGATTTCTCTTAAGCAATTATAGTCATTAATATTTATAATTATAAATTAATAAAGCAATAATTGTTTTTCTTTGAAAGATATGAGTACAATTTATCTCTCAACATTTTGAACTTCAATTGCAAACCTTTAGTCATCACATCAAATAAAATAATTTAAACACAAATTCACAATGAAATTCTAAAAATATTTTAATTTTATTCCTAGAATTCAATATACGTACGAACAAATTATTTAATTTTTATCCACAAAATATCAGCAATTACAAGCAAAAACATTGTTTAAGCGCTTTGGTGCGCCCTAACCACTGCGCAAACCAAACGTCACAGCCGCTCATCTGAGGCAGCACACAGTCTTAATGAAATTATTGACACAGTGACACCACAAGCCGATTTTAAAATTTTGCTATAGTAAAGCTTAAAAAATATATATTCACAAAAAAAAAAAATAAATAAATAAATACATAAGAAAAAACTATGACATTTCAACTGAACTTATGAATAAGTTAGCTCATTAAACAATCATAACTTGTGCCATTGACGTCATCAGATTTCACACAATTCCTACAATTCACAAGCGAAAACATCGTACATCGAATGTATCTGATTAGAGCATATCTAACTATCACGTACATAAAACTGAACGCTAACAGCGTACCGTGTACCGTATAGTGTGTAGCGTACTCGCAAACGAGCGCTCATAGTCGCTCGATTATATGCGCGCTTAACGCTATGACACAACTCAAGCGAATTACTTTAAGTGATTCATGGCGGGCATGAGGAATCCCCGGTTCGATAATAAGCGGATAAAAATAGCTTCGGAACGTTCGTTCGTACGTTCAGCCACTTGCACGCCCGCTCGCGCTTAAGTAGCGGCAATGCGGCATAGCGGCATAGCGGCATGGCGGCATAGCAGCGTAGCGTAGCGGCATAATTTCAAATGTAAACAAAAATTAATAATGGAAAAGCAAATATATATCGCTGCTATAAAATTGCTCGCTCGAAACGTCACTTGAAGTGGCGGCAGCAGCGCGCTCGCAATCGACAGGTTTACCGACTTGTTATTGTCATTTGTTGTTATTGTACAGATACGCCATTGAGATACGATTGACTGCTGCATATAAAATAGAGCGTACAAATTTCACTTTCTGTCGGCGTTCACAGTTATCATACTTAACGTGCGCTAATTGATTAGTCTTTCAGTTAGAAAAGTGATAAGGGTAACTACTTTGTTGCATATGATAATGCAAATAGAATATTTGTTTATACACAAAAACAAAATGTATAATAAGCTACAAATATTATAAAAATAAAACTAATAAAAAATAAAAAATAATCTAATAAAAAATTATTTTAAAAAAATTAAAATCCATTGAATAAATAAGTTTTAAAACTAATGCATTCACTTTTATACAATATTAAAAAATAAATAATCAGTAAATATAATATTACTTCCCTATTAAAATAGTATATTTAGTGCACTATCTTCACAGTCAAGCAACAAAAAATGTTCTTACAGATATCACTAACTGACCATGTCCAATTATAGGTCAGCAGTCGTACTTCTCACAACCGACGCCGTATTGGCTATCAATTCATTTCCAATAAAATGTTTTTCTATTCTTAAACACAATTGAGAATAGAAACAAGCTTTATAAATTATTAATCAGTTAAGCACTTTTACAGTTTTTATAGATTTTTGCCTTTTGAAATACTTGTTTACATTAAAATTGCTTTTCGAAATACAATCACTTCACGTGCCTCACAAAAGGCTATTCAACTTTTTGTTATTGTTTTCACTGCTCTTCGTAAGATTATTAAATGCTAATTTATTTCTTTATATACATACATATAAACAATAATATATACAACCTTTAAAATTGTATAACGCTTTTACAGATTGTTTATAATCTGCGCAAATCTCGACTCGTAATTACTACCTGACATTTCATTATAGCATATATTATCTCATCGCAAAATAGCGCTAATTGCTTGTAAATCTTTTTAATTAGTTACATAAAATTCAATGTTGGTTTTATTTTATTTTGCAGGTGGCTTTGCGTCGTTGGCATCGCTATTTACAAATCCATGTTGCCGCATTTACATATTTGAGACGTGCTGAAATGCACTGGGATCAGCATGTGCTGCAACACGCTAGTCCGATATACCTCGAGTTGGACAAATTAAAGGAAAGCGCACTATCCGTATTATGCGAAATTGAAACAGCCATTAATAATACCTCGGTTAATACCCATAAGTCACGGCGTAACATTAAGACCATTAAGCGTGCAGCCATGGAGAAGAAGCTAGAGTTCCAGTCACATCTAAAGCATGTATTCGGTCATAAATGGGATACGCAACAAAGCAAGGAACTGCATGAATTGATATCGACAGACTTAAAAGTTGCAAAACATCGTTACCTTAGCATGTTGCGTGCCATGCTTAAAGTGTTGCGCTCGCATATAACGCGTCCTGGTCCGGTACAATTGGATAGTCACAGCACAAGCAGTAGTAGCAGCAGTAAAGGCAGTTCCAAGCAATTGAATAGCAGTCAACAGAGTTATTTACAAAGCGATAGCAAGGACCTTAGCAGCAGTATTAATAGCTTTGAAACGAATTTCAGTCAATCATCTAAAGTACGTCACAGAAAGAGGCCCACTAATGTAAGTGGTGGTCACACTGCAAAAAACACAAACACAAATCTTAGTGGCAATAGACGACATAAGCAACATTCGCACAACGAAAGGAAGCAAATTTAAAAACATTCCATTCCAACGAATTCCTATTTTAATAATAATATTAAGTAAATCCTTCGTATTTATAAAATGCATCACACAACCGAAGTCACAAAACGAAAAATATTTATTTATTCATATCTTCATGCTCATATTAATCTATTTATTATCAGTTACCCATGACAGCTACGAAACTACTTCATTCACTTTACTATACATCAATATTATTTTCGAATTATAAGTATTTTAACTACAATTTAATTTATTATACGAGATATCTCTATTTGCATAACAGTTTGTCAGTATGCAAAACCGTTACTGTACTGTGATATACTTTAAGATGAAACAATAACTATTTTGATAATCAAACAATACGGGTTTATATATATCAAAAACTATTTTTTATATAAAATAATAATAAAATATATATTTATCAAAGACAAATATTTAGCATTTTTATTTTATTAATTAAGTTTTATTCTAATTAAATCAATCAAAGATACGATTAACAACTCTTCAATATCAAGATTTGCAATCCACTTTTAATTCACATTAAATTATACAAAATATACTTTACTGCTATTAAGAGTACCCTCACTTAACATTTCCAGAAAATAATGATAGTCCGAGATACAATAGGCGTCTTGACCAAGAACGTCTTACATCTGTAATGGCCAACTAATGAAGTAAATAAAAATATATAGAATGTAGATTTTACTTTGATATATATATATCTGTCATCTGTACCGTGATGTCGCGAACATAATTAGCTACCTATTAGCTACCGAGGCTACCTAAAATGACTTATATTAATATAATATATAGCACTTAGTCATCTTATGGCAAAAATGACTCACTACTTAGATTACATTTTTTACCCCCTTAACTTTTAAGCTGTTTACGCTATGGATTCTCAAGTGTGCTATTCATTTTTGCACTGAGAGTTGCTTCAATCAGAAATTTGATATGAAACATGCACATAACGGTAACTGCATCAATTTCTGTAATAATGCTGCTATAATAGGAATGGTCACAAATAAAAGAAAAAAACTACCGAGTATCAGCGTCAAATAGTTTCTCCAGCCTTCTAGGGTAAAAAGGTTGTAAGATATTTTAAGAACAACAAACATCAATAACAGAAGGTTGTTCAAAATGTAAGACTAAGCATTCCTCTCCAAGCGTCTCGACTATAGGCGTTCTTCTCCAAACGCGTCCATCAAGTGCGGTTAGTGTTCGCTCTAACTCCCTCTATCTCTACGCCTTCTTACTTCAACTTCTTCTTGAAACACCTCTTTTGCTGGAGCATCGTGATCCATACTCAGAACATGAACAAGCCAGCAATACGGTTAAATTTTAATTCGATAAGTTCTATTATTATCATAATAAAGCTCGTGATTCGTTCCAATGTAGGATTCATCGATAAATCGTAGAGAACCAAAGATGGTTATGAAAAACGTTTTTCTCGAAATATTTAAAAAAAACATAGTAATAAATAATTACAAATTAAAACTGTTAAAAAAATAGATTTAAAGTGCATAAAAAATAGATTTTTCAACCCAGTCAATTTCTATACATTAAGTTTATTAAGAATATTCAGCATCATTAAGAGGATTAAATTTATTAAACAGTCAAAGTTTTACTTAAAACTTAAATGAATTTACATTAACTATTATTTCTTAATAATATACACGTCATTGAAATGGTTAAGCGCAAAAATTCAGCGGCTTCGCTATCTTGGTCAAGAAGAAAGTGCTCCAGCTGGAAATGTGTTTGATTCGGTACCCGCAAGTGGAAAACGTAGAGAACATCCACATCTTCGGTGGACGTACCAGGTGACCAATGATTTAAGGGCGCTCGGTACTATCAACTGGCAACAACAAGCAACTAATCAGGCTACTAGACGCGTCCAAGGACGACTCACGTCTGCAATGGCCAACTAAGTAAGTAAGTATTATTTCTTAAGAGTATGCAATATCATTGTTGTCAAATACTAAAGCCAACTAAATTTCAAAAAAAAAATTTTTTTAAATAATTCATATTTCATTATTCGTCTATTTATAATAAATTGACAAAACATAAATTTATTGCATTATTTTTCCAGCTGATCTCCCCTAATCCAGTTTTGTCACAAATAATTTTATAATTTTATTTTCTTTATATCTGTACAATGATTCCAACAATGGACATGGGATAAAAAGGTAATAATTAAACTAAGCAAAAATACTCTCAAACATATTGAAATCCACTTCAAACCCTCAGAAAACACTAACAAAAGAGGCGGTCAAAGATCAAAGGCGTGAAAATTCACATTTTGCACCCACTTCAGATCGCACGTACATACATGATACGATAGAGTACGACAAAGCAGCATGTCGATATCGGAAAGCAAAGCAACAACCCTACTTAATTCACAAAATCCAAACCAAACTCAATAACCATCGGCCAAGAGCCAATAGCCAACAGCCATCAGCCATCAGCCGTAAGCCAGAGAGCAGATGATACGCAGATAATGAACGAATTGACTGTGGCCGATCAAAATTCAATACAATTTTTAATTGTCAATAAAGCAAACAACAGTGAAGGCTCAAAATAACAATACCTAGCAAAACGCAGCAGCAACAACAACAGACCCGAACTGTAGTGGTAAATACAGAGAATAGTTGACAATATAAATCCAATTGACAGCATAAAGGTCATACAGATTTATAACGCTCATTAGAGACTCTGAATAGATGAGCATACCGATACATGCCAGCATAGCAATGGAACTGCTTGGACAATCGAAATAAATGGCTATAGTGGCGCCTGTGTGGCCAACCCGTAAACGGAATTTGAAAAGAATTATTTTGTATAGCGTTTATGTTGTCCTGTTGCTAAGTGTACACGATGTTATTATGTTGGATTGCGCATAATATTGCACCTGGATATCATTTATTTAGTTTTTTTTGAGTTTTTTTTTGTATCTCACTTTTATGACTACATTGAGATAAGAAAAAGCGGGAGTGATGCTATTTAATCAAACTTATCGCTAAGCAAACATCTTAACATAATCGGCGGAAGTCAAATATTTACTTGTTTACATAACCAAAGCAACATGTTCATTCAATACATTCGAATCCTCTATTGACTTTGGCTCATGCTCAGTGCACAGCCTCCAACAGTTCTTCGTTCTTCGTTCTTCGTTCTTCGTTCTTCGTTCTTCGCATGCCTTATCAGTCGGTTTCGCACAGCACGAATTTCATTGGTAAATATTTGCCTTTGCAACAAGTTGAATGTCAATATTTTTAACTCTTATTGTAGCGCATAAGTATGCATAAATATTTGAAGTTCATTTGGAAATGAGAAAAGAGTAAAAGAATTTATTTAATGAATTTTTAACACGTTTGTCTTTATACTCGCACTCGTATCTTTGTTAGGATTACAGGTAATAAATTTTCAGAAAAAAAAAATCTTAAATGATATATAAAAAAAATACAATTAAAATAGTGTGAATATATAATTTGTTAAAAAGAGTACTAAAGGATCCACATAATATAATAGAAATAAAAAACCAATAAACATCACAATAGTTCTTTGTGTTCTTACACAAGTTATATGAAATAATAAACATTCCTAATCAATTGATTGATTTCACATACGAAATCAGTATAGGAGATTACCTTTCCAAATTGAAACCGAAGACTATGCACAGAGATATACAGAGACAGAAAGAATTATAATAATATCTCTCTAAATTCAATAATAAATGCCATATATAATATTTCTAATATTTCTAATATTTTATTAAAATTATATTACTATATTGCTTATTAATTAATCAATTACAATATACATATATATACTGATAGCGTAGTAAATTGATTAAGAATGGCTCTTTTCCAACAGATATTTTATAGAAAGATTTTGCAATTTTTTTTGTTTAAAAATTCTTTTAACCTTTTACGTACTCACCTTTATATAATGACACATAAAACCAGAAACGCTAATAATTAAAAATAAGTTTGTTAATATAAAAATTTGTGAGCGGGCTAATTGGTCTTTTAAATAAAAATAAAACAACTATAATTTATTTTTTATATTTAAAAAAAATAATATTTTATTAAGATATTTTCTGATATTTTGATTACCTTCGATAGTCATCTTCAGGGACACTAACAAAATATACAATGTAAAATTTATAGCGGAAAAATTTAAATAATAATAATAATAATTTGTTAAAACAAAAAGAGAATAAAAATTATAAAATACATAAACAATATCCAGTGTCATTTGTTTATAATATACCTATAAGCCTGAGCATAGTTGTCCGTATCCATTTTATAATTTAGTCTCTTGCTATTTGCACATTTTCTTCTAACTGAAAATGTATACTAGAAAACAAATAATGCCTAAATAAGTTAGTGAAATATTGGCGGGCTATACAAAATTATAATAAAATAAACACAGAAGATGCCAAAACATCAAAATACAGTCGTTACTTCGTCAATTACCTTAACAGTCTATCATTTATATATATCTACCTCGTATGAAACAAATAAAAAAATTTGCATTAGTTGCTTGTTCCATAATCATAACGGATACTTCGTTATAAAGTTCCCAAGTAAAAAGCAATTATAACACCAATCTTAGTTTAAGAAATACAGTTATTGATTATAGGTATTAACTCTATATGGCTTTAATTTATTTAGTGAAAGCGTAGCGTATTTATAATTAAGCCAAAGCAATTATATTAGTTTGAAGTGATGATCTTACATACCAAACCTCACTACAGCACAAGTAATGACTTCTTGTAACATCTCAATCTCAAAAAATCTCTCAGTTCAAAAAATTGCAGAGATGTACTTAAAAACTTATTTTTGAGACAAAAAAGCTAAAAGTATGCAAAGGGTTAATATTTATACAATGCTGATTTTTGTTATCATAAAATCAACAAATTAGCATCGTTTCCGGTAGATTATATGAGAGTGTTAAGTGATCTGATATGAGTAAACTCTTTATTTTTTCTTTTGTAACTTATTTTTCAAATAACGATGAAATTATGTTAACAAATCTTTGATTTATGTTAATAGATTAACCTGCATGTATGACATTACTCATATTTTGCTTGA